AAATTGAAATCAACGGAGATTTAGGAAAATTGAAATCAACGGAGATTGTGGAAGTCTCTCCGCTGACTCGAGTCATACCTTGCACAAAGGAAGATTGCTGTGGTTACTGGACGTCTGTCATCTCAGCTCTAGGAAATCACTGCAGGAGTTTTTTTTTAAGAGTAGTGCCTCGGTTATTTTTATTTTCATAGACTCAAACTCCCTCCTCCTCATTTCAAATCCTTGTCGCTTCCCTATTCAACTGTTTGGACAATACTTTGAGGCCCTTTCTGTTTAAATGTATCTATAAGGCTCAACTGTTGAGAATACAAATATAATATTGACACATGCAACTAAAAAATGCCAAAAATATCCTGAAAAAGAATTGAATCAAATTTGCTGTATGGACTTCCATCAGATGTATAGAATATGTCTAATAGTTACACATTATAGAAACCAAAGCTTTCACTTGCTTTGGATCACAAAAATAAAAATGCATTTAAAGTAACTTTAAATACTTCTAAAAGAAAAATTAGCATATCTAATTTTAAAGAAGATGCATTATCTTTTGTCACACCACAAAGTCGCCACTTGCAAAATTTGAATCAACATAATACTGATGCTACAAAATGCAAGATTTAGCCTGAATGCTCCATGTACGTAGGTAAGAAAATCAGTGAGCCTTTTAGATATTATGTAAAGCTTTCCATTTGAAAATTATTCCAATTTTCTCCTATTCAATTTTACAACAAAGAATTACTCAAATTTATGAAATTGTTCATACCTGACATCTTTCCCAACTGTCATTGAAGCAATCACTTTCTTCACTGCTTCTTTCTTCTTTTCTTTCTTGTCACTGTTGAGCTCAGCTTTGAGTTCAAAGATTTCACCTAGAGTTCAAAGAAAATGGATTAATTTTCTTGAACAGAACATTGAGAACCTTAGTGAGATGAAGCTTGTAGCCATCCATTTTCCAGAAATATATTCTTTACAATTTTGCATCAACAATTCATGGAAATTCACTAGTACATCACAGCAAGTTCTGAGGAAGGGTCACCGGTCCCGAAACGTTAACTCTGTTTATTCCATCACAGATGCTGCCAGACCTGCTGAGCTTTTCCAGCAACTTTATTTTTGCTCCTGGTTTACAGCATCCGCAGTTCTTTCGGTTTTAAATTATTTATTAATGTTTGCAATAATTAATTAAAAATCTATCTTTGGCTATGTTCCTTTTTGTTGTTGTGCAGACCTGTTTTTCCAGTCCTTTTAATTTTTTTCTCTCTGCTGCACACACACATTAGTTATCACAAGACCAGCCTGTAATTTACTCCTACTCCCTGTCTGATACCTGTTGGGCTGCTGCATTGCCACCAGCCCCAAAGCTTAACATAATATTGCCTGTAGTCATCAAAAACGATTATTCTTTATCCTCCATTTCCAATGACAAGACAGTTTTGACTGAAGAGAAGATACAATTTAGATTTTAAGTTCTGTAAAAAGATCAATACATCATAAAGCGGAATATTACTTTGACTTCTACAATACACAAAGGCAAAGACAAAATAAAGACAGAAAATGTGGAGTGCAAGGTAATTGGGGCATGTAAGGTCAGGGATAGGGTGAATCAAAGCCAAGATAGGATTTAAAACAAGGACTTTGATACGTTGGGGGACTAGGAGTTGACATAAGTAAACACAAACAGGGGCAATGAACCATTTGGACTTTATCTAAAATTTGAATAGCAAACTTTTGGATGAACTGAAGTTTATAAAGATTGAAGAGGAGGAAATCAGCTAGGAAAGTTTTGGAATTTGAGCCTAGAGGCAGGGATAAGAGTTTTGGTGGAAGATGGGTCAAGGCATTAAATAAAATGGAGGAGGTAGGCAGTCTTTGTGATACAGAGTACAGTAAATGCTCTTATGTAGTACCAAGCACCTGGATTCTCTTGCAACCAGCAAATTTTCAAAGAAATTCCCATTTTAATAAAGTTTGTTCAAAAACATCTAACTGAACAGTTCTGCTGCACCGTGCGGTAGTTCACCCAGCCACCACTAACAGCCTGGCGTCCTCCCTCAAATGGGTGCCACTACAAAATATAATCAGAGTTTCTAGAACTCAGGAAGTAACTGCACTGCCCTTTTGACATTTAGATTACTTTTTATTCAAAAAATAATAGAGTGTACTGTATTGGGTTCCTAGAAGAGTATGTCTCATGCAACCAGACTTGTGAGATCAGCACTGCTCCCTGCCAATTACACCTCCCACTCCCCCAAAAACAAAACAATTCCATACACAGACTGGATAACAGGGGATTTAGTGTACATGGGGCCCAAAGTGTCAAAGTGTCTCAGAATCGAATATGACAGTCATAAAACAGTCTGGTTCAACTTGAGACAATCACCAAGACAATAAGAATTAGGGAAGAGTGCTAAATTACTTCATTGGCTGCAAATTCTACTGGATGAAACTGCAGCACCATTCTTTTGGAATGCCTTTTCTTCATTAACATTGTGTTTTACAATTTTCACATATTAAGCCAAAGAGATTACAATTACACAAATAAAATGCAGTATACTAAATAAGTGAAATTGAGTGCTGTCCAAAAGTCTGGTGCACAGGGCAGCTAGCGCCTCTTTATCCAGTTGTACAATGAGGCCAGTAGTGGACTGAACTCAGAAGTGATTCTATTTCAAAGATCTTGAGTATTTACAAAACTTTAATGCTATGGCAAAGGTTGTCATCAAAAACACGGCTCAAGTTTGCAACCAGAGCGCATCATTTAATTAGCCCCACTCAGAAATATCAGCAACACAAGTGTCATAACTTACTTTGTCCTTGGGTCTTGCAGTGGATAGATTGACATCTATTACTATACAAACACTACATTCCCCTGCAGTAAATAAATCTAAAGGACATGCTTTGGGGAAGGCTTCAATGTCGCTATAACCTTGCAAGCAGTCAACAATGACAATCTTACATTTGTGAAAGCAAGCACCAACAGAACTAAAACTTGTGAGCATAATTTTTAAATATAGTACAATTAAGTACTGCTCATTAAATACAATCTAAATACAACTAAAATTCAAGTTTCATGTCAAAGTCACGTGTGTGCTCTTTAATATCTTACATACATTTACTACTGTGAGGTGCTTTACTTTTGTTGCATTTAATATATAAGGAAACAAAGCAGCTCATGTCAAACTGGTTAAATTCTGCTCATTTCAGTTGCTAAGGAAATAGCAAAAGATTGGGCAGGCACTATACTGTTCAGTTATTTTATCAAGTGTAATTATTAAAATACTTACAATGCAAAATGTGACACAGGCTTACAGTTACCTTATCTTTACTCACCATATCCTGAACAACAGTCAGAGCAGCCTGCTTGAAACTTTAGATATGTTCTACTATTACTGCTTGATAAAGGGCCCTAGGAAAGGCTACACCAACCCATTAAAAATACAGCACTTTAGTATTTGTATGTACTGGGTTATTCATATGCATACATCAAGTTTGAAAGCCATAAAACCTGAACAGTACATCTAGGCCATTTCGATGTATTATTGAGGGATAGCCGCTAGGTCAGCGGTACCATCATTCAATTGGAACTGAATACAGTTTTGGTCTCATTACTGGAAGAATGTGATCCACAAGAGAGATTGGTGGAGAGATTTACATAGATTGTGACTGGACTGCAGCATTTTAACTATAAAGGAAAATTGAACTGAATGGGATTATTTTCTTTGCAACAAAGGAGATTTAATTGGGATGTAAAAAATTATGAAGAATCTAAGTACAGTGGACAGGACAGAGCTGTTTCTTTTAGGGTTCAACAATTTAGGGTAGTTAAAACTAGAGAAGAGACAAGGACACATCTTTGTTCCTGATAAAGTGGCAGAAGCAGAATATTTGTTGCATTTGAAAAGTATATACATATACACAAGAAGTGGTGCATCCTACAAGAATACAGATTAAGAATTGGAAAATATTAGGTTTGATGGTTCTTTTTCAGCCAGCACAAATATGACAGGTCAAATGGTTTCTGTGTGGCAAGAATTTTTATGATTCTGCAACAAAACTGAAAGCTCTCAAGAAGAAAAAAACATTCAAATATTGAACAAGGTCTTCCCAGTATCTCAGCTGATGTATCACTGAAACATCACTAAAAATCAGATTGTCTAGGAGTAACTGCAAGCCAAAGCTACATAAACTGATATCTGTTAAAAGCACAATTCCAAACTCCTGCTTGGGTGTGACTCCAACCTGATATCATAGGAATAATTGATTTCAGTTGTTCATGTCCAACATGTGAATTAGACTGGAATTTTTTCTTTCAGTGCAACGAACAAACGATTGTACCTGTCGATATACTACCACAACCACATCAGGATATTATACTTCCTAACAGATCCGCTCTTCAAACTTCTACAGTGAAGAAAAAAAGAACACAGAAGAGGAAAGAGCGTAACTAGAATTGAATATTCTGAACGTGGTACTGCAAATGACTTGCCAGTAATTTCATGATGTGTTAAACCAGTTCTTTCTACAAAGCAGATATAGTTTTGCAAGAGTTACAGTAAACAAGCTGCAAAGTTTACTTCAGGTTGACAACACTTTAACAAATTTATATTTGTTAGATTGGAGAGAGAGATGAAAAGTTGCTACCTTTCTTAGTCGTTGTGAAATACTTAGAATCCGTCATGGTGATCCTGGGATAGGCTCCTGAAAAGAAAAAAAGTAATTGATTTTCCTGCTGAACCAGCAATGTGGATTTTCCCAACAGGAAAAACAAAGTTACTGATTAATCAGTGTTAAGGTACAGTGCCTCTGTACTGAAACTTGTTTTGCTACTTCCCTGCCTTTTAGCTCTTTCAGTAGTTCTTTCAAAAATATGCAAATATCGTCATCCAGTAACTTAATTTTCAAGTCAAAAAATGCACACACTTTGTACAATGTGCACTTTGCTTATATATGTCAATATTCATAAAATAGCACTCCTTTTAATCTAGGAGTTGAGGGTAGCCCCTGATGACCTGGTCTTTATCAGGATCAATGATATAGAAAAGTAGTAAGATCCTTCTGAGGGTGCACTGGGAGTTACGAATTGAAAAACGACACGTGTATCGAAGCATCACCCCAGCCACATGCTAATTGATAAGAATTGACAAATGAAAAGGTGACTGCAAAGCTCAGAGCGGTGCAGGAAAGTGGGAATAATTTTATGGGTCACCGAGACAGGAAGGTTCTGGATAGTGGGACAATGATACCTAGGTCAATGTGAAAAGAATTAACTAAGACTAGGGATGAGACTTGAAACTAGCAAGATGGGGTGAAGGAAGATGTGGCAGAAATACCTCAAATACATCAAGAAAAAAGTTGCTGAGAATAAAGGAAAAGAATAATAGAAGCATAAACAGTCATGGAACAGAAACATTTACAGAACATTACTATGGGGGGGGCGGGGGGGCGCGGGTGGAGGGAAGCACAGTCAATAAGAATAAACTAAGTCGGCTGTACTGTAATGCACACAGTATCGGGGGGAATCCAAAGCAATAACTTGTGGTGGTAAATTAGATGTAGGATCAACTGAGACTTGGCCACATGGAGAACAAGACTGGCAGTTAAATACAGCAGGACATAACACACTTATAAAGGATAGAGACAAAACAGGGAAGGAAAGGTAGCTGTACTAATCAGAAATAACAAGAACAGTTAAAAAAACAGAATCCATATCAATTAGGATGTAGGAGGAGTGATTTGATCATGCTTTGAAGAGTAACCTGTAGACCATCTAATTATGGAAGGGGACAATACAATATTAAAGAAAGATGGAATCATTTGAAACCCCATGCATTTGTGTACCACTTTTAACATCATAAATGCTCCATGGCTTCACAGGAACAAGTTACTCAAACATATTAGGACAAAATTTTAGTTGCAATTTAAAAAGGGGATAGAGGTAGAAAAGTATGGAAGTGGGCAGCAAGCACAGTAGTTAGCACTGCTGCTTCAAAGCACCAGGGACGCCTGGAATACCAGCTGTGGGTGACTGTACATGTTCTCCCTATGTCTGTGTGGATTTCTGCTGGATGTCTGGTTTCCTCCCTCACACCAGGAACGTGCAGGCTAATTGAATTAGCCATGGTAGATGCAGGGTTACAGGGACAGGATGGGAAAGTGGGTCTGGGTGAGATGCTTTTTGGAGGGTTGTTTCAGACTTAATTGCTCAAATTGCCTTTTTCTGCACTGTAAGGATTCTATAAGAAGGAATTCCAAAGTTCAAGGCTTAGGAAACTGAAAGCTCAACAACTTGAAGGTGGAGGAATTAAAATTGGGGAAATCAAAGAGCACAACTGGATGCATGCAAAAATCTCAATGTTCGGGGAGGCTAGCTATTGGGAAAGGTAATGTCAAGCAGAGACTTGAGAACAAGGATGAGAATTTTAAAATTAAAAGTCCCATTGCTGGACTGGGAACAAAAGTAGGTCAGCAAGCACAGAGCCAATTGGTGATCGAATCTCAGTGCAAATTAGTGTAAGGAAATGGAAGAAGTCATGATAGTTAATTTTCCTTAGTTTTTACCAGAATGAATAACTAAGGAGGTTGAAGGGTGACCTTAGAGGTTTACAAACTCAGTATAAAGTGAATAGCAAGGTGCTTTCCGTGGGGTTGGGAAGTTCAAAACTGGAGGGCTTAATTTTAAGGTGACAGGAGAAAGATTTAAAAGGGACTGGAGGGGCAATGTTTTCACAAAGAGGGTGGTGCGCATATGGAACAAGCTGGCAGAGAAAGTGGCAGATACAGATGTAGTTACAAAATTTAAAAGACATTTGGACAGGTACATGAATAAGAAAGGTTTAGAGGGATATGGGCCAAATAGAGGCAAATGAGACTAGTTTATTTTGGGAAACTTGGTCGGCATGGACGCATTGGACCAAAGGGTCTGTATCCATGCTGTACGACATTCTGACAGATATAGCATTAAAATGAAATCTAAAACAAAAATAGACAATTAAGATGGAGAGAGATAATTGTTGGACTAATTAAATTTAGAAATGATTAATTTTTGTTCAAAATTAATTGCATCCACACAGTTAAAACAGAACTAAGGAAGAGCTAGCAGATTCAAAATAAAATCCATAGAATAGTGAACCGGATCAGGAAAATAGTGGACAATCAATATTATTCCTATATTCAAAAGGGAGACAGAACAAATAAGGAGTTATTGTGAAGTTAACTAAAAATTAATCGTTAACAAATGGAATATTTACTCAAGTGTTAACGCCAACCACCCAGAAACTGCACATACAATAGTCAGTTTACGGAGTTCTTTGAAGTCATAAAAAGCAAGAGTAAAGTTGATTCAGTAGGTGCAATATTAGATGGACTTTCAAAATACCTTTCATTAAGGTAAATGAGAGCTTATGCCTACAGGCTAGCATGCAGATTCTGGAGACAAGTAGCAGAACAAATCAAAAACTGAATATAAACCAAAAAGTAAGTATTCAAAGTATTTACTGGCTATCAAGGTGAGAGAATCTAGGACCAGAGGGTACAATCTCGGAGTAAGCGTTGTCCATTTAAGACAGAGATGAGGAGGAAACTTTTCTCCAAGAGAGTAGTCAATTTGTGAAATTCTTTGCTGTGGAGGGCTGTCAAAGCTGGGTAATTAAGTATATTAAAGGTTGAGATATACATATTTCTAATCAGTAATGGAATTAAGGATTTATAGGGATAAGGAAGGTGGAGTTGGGATATTAGATCAGTCATGATTGCATTGAATGACAAAGTAGACTTCATAGGCCAAATGGTCTATGTCTGACCTTATGGTAGTGGTCCTCCATAGGAATTGGTGCAGGGACCATTATTGTACACTGAATGCAAAAATTATCTAAGAATGAAAGGAATCAGAAGTGCAATATCAAAACTTGCAGATACCATATTGGGACACATGGCTAATAGCAAGATTACAATAAAATACAAAACAAGCTCAAAAAATCTGGAGAATGGATGTGTAAATGGCAAAGTAATTTCAAAATACATGTGAGAGGTGTTGTACTCTGGTAGTAGACATAAAGAAGTCACACTTCCCTTGGAAAATTATCTTAATGGGATAGGGACACAAACAAATTAATAAAAGCAGAAACAGGTCAACAAAGCCACAAAATGCAAATAATGCATTGGGTGGGAGGTGGTTTGCATGGAGCATAAACGCTTGAATAAACCCAATAAACCGAATAGCCTGCATCTGTACTGTACAGTGTAATTAAGTATTTGAATGTTTCAGAACGCCCGATTCAGAATCATTCACCCTATCACATCATTGAAACAAACTGCCCAATTTGGTTCCTGCATATTTTGCATTGGACAGATATTGCCCGAAATTATCCATAGGCAAGTATATTAAAGTAGCTGAACTCAATATTTTAAGGTTGACATTGAGTGTGTTATCAAAACAGTCATATCCATTTAATAATGAAAGTGCTTCAGACCTTAGTAATGAAGATTTTGTTTCTTAAAGAGACAAAACAAACAATTTCAAACCGAGGAGACCTAGGACTGTCATTTGTTACAAGCACAAATTGAACCTAACACCCAAACAGCAATCGATGTGGGGTCAAGGAGATCAGAATTTTCCTGTCACTATCTGGCCAGGGCAAACTGAGCTCAGTTAAATTTCAACGCTGAAGAGGAAACGGAGCTTGTCCATCAACAAAACTACCCAATTCCTTGTTTCTGGTCACTTAGTCATGCAGCGTTTCAGATGGTCGGTGAGGACTCGATGGGCAGAATGGCCTCTATCTGCACAGTGATTCTACTTGACGTTTGCCGGCACAACAGCGATTGCACTTCGAAGACATTCGCGGGGCCAAGAGCTTTGAGACAGGACAAGGCGCTACTTAAACACAAGTCTGCATTGATCGCAATCAGTGAGACCGTGGGAAGAAACAGTTGGGGGTGGGAGAAGGTGGTAAAGATAAGGGCGCTATTTAAAAGGGAACGACTTTGTTTTTAAGGGAACACGCAGGATTTACAAAAATATTAAATTTTAACAGTGAAAGGCGTCCGGTTTGCCATCTCTGCCCGAGGGGAGGAGGGAAGGGGGCGGCTCACAGTCTCTGCACCTGCTCGAGGTCCAGGTTGGGTAAGGTCCTGGCCCCAGAGGCCGGGGAGATGGAGGGCAGCGACCGCATGTGTATGCGCGCCCCGGGAGAGGGCTCAACCCCCACCTCACACCCCAGACCCCAGACCCCAGACCCCAGACCTCAGACTCCCAGCTCCAGCTCCAGCTCCAGCTCCAGCTCCAGCTCACTCGATCCCAACTTCCGGCCCCGGCAGAAAAATTAACTTTTAGCAGGCGGACATTGGTGGGGGGATGGGGGGGTTGTGGAAAGAAGGAAGGAAGGAAGGAGAAGCGTAAGCACTCACCTCCCTGCGATCACTCGGCTGAAATGAGAGTCCAGTCGCCGGTCGAGAAGGAGGCCCCCGCCAGATCGACTCCCTCCTCCGAACACCAACTGAAGCTTCAAGATGTCCGCCCGTCGCCAAGCTGCGCTGTCACCCAGCTGAACCGGAAACAATCCGCGACAGGAGGCGGGGAGGGTCAGCTTCCGGCCACGCTCCTGGATCCTGGTCCAGCTCCTAGCTCCCCCAGCAGTTGCAATGCAGGCTACTTGCACCAAAATTCAGTGTTTGTCGGGCATTTGGCACGGGTTTGCCCCAAAATCAAAACCCACATCATCTCCTAACTCAAGAGTCGAGCTGCAAAAATAATTACTTTTAAAAAACACAAATAGGGTGTGCTGGAGAAACCCAGCAGGTCTGGCAGTATCTGTGGAGAGAGAGATGTAAACAAAGTCAAATCTTTCCAGGCCAGTGTGATTCCAGAAGTCGTTTCACATTATGTTTCTCTGCCCACAGATGCTGCTGGTTCTGCCGAATTTCTCCAGCACTTTCTGATTTTCTTTTCCATTTCCAGCATCCATAATATTTTGCTTTTATTTTTATTTTATTGCTGTTCCCCTACAAAACAAGTTGAAAATTGGTTCATAAACCCCATTAGTGTCTTAATCTCTAACATAAAACAATTTGTAAAGCACTAATCACTCAAAGAGTCCTTTTTTGACAAGTGCTCAATGTTGTACTGCTATTTGTGAACAGCAAGCTCCTAGAAATAGAAATGAGATAAAACCCGATAATGTATTTTTGTGATGTTGGCTAGGAACTTCTTCCTTTAAGACAGACCATCGTGGTCAAACATGACTTCCTGCCATACTAAAAGTACATTTTCAGATAACTGAAGAGTCCAGCCTGTAATTTCTAGACTGTGGCTGGGTGAATTGGAGGGAAGGAGACTAAGACATATGTGTGCTTCTTTCTCTGCTGACATTGAGCTTAGCTTACCATCTGTTAGGAAACTTGAAGGGTGCATAGATCCATCCCTGCCAGATGCTTTCTTCTCACTTCAGGCAGTCTTGAGCCATGGCTTCCCAGGTGTTGATGGGAATGTTGCACATTTTGAAGGAGGCTTTGAGGGTGTCCTTGAAGCATTTCCTTTGTCACCTGCATTCCAGATTCAAAGTCATTTTATCCTTTGTCATTAAACTACAGTATGCAGATGATGCATGTGTTTGTGCACACTGAGTCCAAGCCATCATCATCGCCTTCAAACTTCATAAAACAAAGGTCCTCTATCAACTGCCACACTATAACACACTGCCGCTACACCTCTCCCCAGTTGTGAAAATCAATAGGGAGGCTTTGGATAAAGTGAACCACTTTCCAAGTTTGCTATTGATGAAATGATGTTGCTTTTAAAATGCAGGCAGATCTGCAGGAGCATTGATGCAAGAAACTTTCCAGTTTTATAACACCTGTGAAAATTCCGGAGATTTCAAGCTTGTTTGTGAGACCAAGAGAGAGAAGTTTAACTCTTCTTATAAATTGCATTTCTCATTAATATGCATGTGCTGGGATGTCTGCAGAAATAAAGAGAGCTGTCACCTCCATACCTCGCACATCCTCGTTTCTGAATAATTGCCTGTATCCATTAGCGTAAATAAGCTTGATTCATTACTTTGTTGGTATAAAACAACAAACTGTATCAGATTTTGACAACTTGAGTTGCTGAGGCTGAAAGCATACAATTTTTCCATACATTCTCCTACTTAGCATTTAGCAAAATCAATGCCCTTATAATATTTTCTAAATTAGAAGGCTTATTCTACTAATAACTGAGAAGTAGGATTTCAACAGCATATTTTTAAAATTCATATGAAATTTCAATTGACTGCAAGAAATATTAAGCAGATATTTTATCAAATTTGTTTTCTTCCTCTTCCAAAAACCACAACCTGTGCTGGAGCATAATTTTGTTAGAACCAATGGTTCTCCAATATCTCAACTGTTAGTTATTGCATTATGTTTGGGCAATGTTGAGAAATCTATCATCATAGCTGAGAGCTTATAGCATCCTGACTTAAAACTAAACCTCATAAAATCCATCCAGCAGGGTAGTGATCAGGAATAGGAAATCTGACTGACTTTATTCTCTTTTGCATGGAGACACGTGTGGATTTTACAAGGGGACAGAATAAATCCTCCACACCATAAAAGTCACCCAGAAACCTGATGACATGAAATCTGGATGCCCACCCCTACCCTCATCCCCACAACCACAATACCCATTGGGCATCCATAATTAGTTAAGAGTGCAACTTCCACCCTTCAGGGACAGGAAGACCCTCCCCAGCCCTGTGAGTTACCAGCTAATCAGATTGTCAAGTAGCCCATTAGGTCTGTCGTCCTAGTACCACCTGGAGTTAACAATGACCACTTTGGGGACAAGGTCAGAAATCACACAACACCAGTTTATAGTCCAACAGGTTTATTGCGATCTCCAAGAACACTTCAGGACAAACAATCCTGAGGAAGTGAAGATCTCTCCAGGCTTGTGGTTCGGAACTTTCGGCATATATGGTTGGGAGACCTCAGCATAGTTGTGGTTGGCCGAGTGGACTATTGGGAAGCAGAGGAAGGGATTGAGTTGGAGATGTCTGCATGGGGAGTCAAAAACAGATGTACACCTTCAGTGAGAGTGCCTCCCAATACAGACAAGGTATCATCTGGAAGGAGGGGCTCCTTCCTGCACAACAGGAACTCATGCTGTTGAGGTTGTTGGGCTGTTCTGTTCGCTTGTCTCTTACCCTGCAGACTGGAACATTGCATTAGAGGTCGAATGAAGCCTTTAAGTTGCAGCTGATTGTGCACTGAAGGCCCTCAATAATCCTAAGGGAGTGGACGGGTGTGTGGGGTTGTCTGTAAAGTGTTTCCCACTCTCTGCAATACAGGCAAAAGCTCAAGGGTGGTGAATGATTGGCTGCTTATTCTATTTTATATAGGTCTCTGCAGCTTCAAACATGCCAGCATAGGGCTTTAAATTTCACCCTATGTGGTCACTTGCAGCAGCCTCTCTCCTACCATTGCAGATCAAAATCAGTGAGCAAATAAAGATTGTGCTTATACATCTCTTTTTGTGAGCTACAGGACCTCAAAATGCTTCACAATGAATGGTGTACTTTTGATGTATGGTCACTTGTAACATCATTAAATCAGAATTCAAAATGGAGCCCTTCTGGTTTCCATGACTGGGTGTCCAACGAAGGAACTTTCCATTAATTTCTGTAGGTTTTGGTTTAACGTTGGTTTAGAAAGGAAGGAAAAGGCTCTGAAAATATTGATTATAAAAATGTATATTTCTTAAAGAAATATATATTTTATGGAGGTGAAGAATTACTGTAACCAGCTGCAAAATACTTTGGGGTTAATCACCTGTATTTGGATTTTGGTTTTTACCTGATTTTTTTCATAAATTGTGCAATTACATAATATATGAAAATTGGAAATGATTTTAAAATGAAGGGGAAATATGTAAAAAAGGAGAATGAGAGTGGGAATTCAAAGGCAAAATTAAAGAGAAACATTTAGAGATTTTTTAGAACAAGGAGGTAGGCTACAAGATAGCAAGAAGAAGACAGTCAGTTCCAGAGAGGGGAATAGGCACAGTGTTGTGGATGAACAAATCAAGTGTACCTCAATATTAGAGAAACAGATCACAACGTATGTGGCAAGATATCATTGAGGGCAACTACAGATGGGCAACGATGCCCGCATTCCACGAATGAATAAAAACAAAATACAGAAATGTCTGAGAACCAGGAAAAGAAATTTGAAGCTAACTTATTGGGGAAGGGAGGAAAAGCTATTTGGAAAGAATGTTTGTAGTGGAAATGTGGGACTTTATGCAATGGAGCAAGTATGTATTTTGAATGATCTGTTAAGATGAGGTCTGCTAGGAGAGTTTTAGGAAAGTTAATAGGTCTCAAGATGTAAAACAGTGACTTTTCAGTTACAGGAGATAAATAATTGTGGAGGGACAAGAAAGCACAGTAATGGAGGAGGTTGAATTTAAGGCTAAAGGCAGTCCAAGACTCTGAACCTCTTAATTTAGTTTGAAATGGTTGCTGGGAATTTGATAATATAAAAGTCAGAAGAATGTAATTGGTGGTGAGAACAGAATACATTTGCTGCTGTTAGGCTTGCAGAAGTGTTGGCTCATCCAATCTTGATAGCATTCCAAAAGTGCCCTGATTCCAGGCTAATGTTCTGCTCAGGGATCAATTGAGGTATCGCAGCCAGGGCATATATACCAGAATAGTGTAATAAAATCAAAATCTTGCAGATGGTGGAAATCTAAAACACAGAGAATGTTGGAGTAACTTAATAGGTCTGGCAACATCTGTGGAGAGAGACACAGAGTTAAGGTTTCAAGTGCAATATGGCTACTTTAGAACTCAAAAGTCCTACTGGATTCACAGTCATGTTCAGCATCACATGGTGTGGCTCAGAAACCCCATTATAACATTGCAGTCTCTGCGACATTTGCTGCAAAGGAAGACAGTTGGCTGAGAAGGTGTAGGATTCCCTGGCCTCTATTTTCTCTGGGCTCACTTCTCAGCAGACTGGAATTTTTATTTCTGCTCAATTGCAACACCCTTTCAAAATAACCACCCTGCAGAGGCCATGGCCAAATTGCAACTGTCTTCCAGATATCTGTGTCAGGGCGCACCATCTTCAAGTCTCCCTTGCAGGTATCCAAATAGCAGAGGTACAAATGCCTAACATTTATGAACCTGTGGTCAGTTCACCAAAGGAAGATCTTTGGCTACATGCTGAATATGGATAAGCCTACCCAGACTTCATTGGCACTAGTACCTTGGTCACTCTGCCAGCCAATTGATCTGAGGTAACACCTGAGACAGTGAAAGTGGAAAC